CCCCCTACCTCACGCGCTACCTCAGGCAGCAGGTAGGAGCCCGCCGCGGCCCCTGCCTTCCCTCACGCCGCGGCGCCGTCGCTCCCCTTCATGAAGAGACGGATTGTAGAAGGGCAGACACCGGTCCCCTCCGGGGGGATCGCCAGCACCGTGGTGGGCAGGGGTGAGGGGAAATTGGCCGTGGCCAGCAAGTGGAGGGAGGGGATTCTACCCCTTTGCTCCGCTCTGGTGAGACTCTGCCTGCAGTGCTGCGTCCAGCTCGGGGGTCACCAACACAAGAAGGACACGGACCTGTTGGAGCGGGTCCAGAGGAGGGCCACGAAGATGATCCGAGGGCTGGAGCGCTTCTGCTGTGAGGAGAGGCTGAGAGAGTTGGGGCTGTTCAGCCTGGAGAAGAGAAGGCTTCAGGGAGACCTTATAGCCCCTTCCAGAACATAAAGGGGACCTACAGGAGAGCTGGGGAGGGACTCTTGATCAGGGAGTGTAGTGATAGGATGGGGGGTAACGGTTTTAAACTGAAACAGGGGAGATTTAGAATAGCTATTAGGAAGAAATTCTTTACTCTGAAGGTGTTAAGGCACTGGTGCAGGATGCCCAGAGAAGCTGTGGCTGCCCCATCCCTGGAGGTGTTCAAGGCCAGGTTGGATGGGACCTTGAGCAACCTGGTCTAGTGAGAGGTGTCCCTGCCCATGGCAGGGAGGTTGGAACTCGATGATCTTCAAGGTCCTTTCCAACTAATCATTTTATGATTTGAAATCTCTCCCTGCCAGTGTGTGGTAGGGCTTGCTGGTGCAGTTTCTGTTGTTTAGAGGTTTTTCTGCAGCCCAGCCGAGCACAGCTGCAGGCAGGGAATTTCCATGGGAATTCAGGGGGCATTTTCTTCTATCACATGCCTCCTTTAGCCACAAACTGGATAGGACTGCATTTTTTAGGATTTCAAGACGTTGCAATACTCAGTCCCTTTGGTAAAATGTTCTGGGTCTTGATTATTCTAATTAAGTTGCAACTATTTAAAGTGACAAGTAGTCTGCTCTGCTGTATCTGTACACCTATCCTAGCACTGAAGTCTGTATCCAAAATATACTGCACAGCATGTTGGCAGAGAGGTGCTGGGGACCTCAGTTGTACCCTGATGGTATTTGCAAATAGCAGTTGTGTGATTGTTTGTTTTAAATATGGAACAGATTTCTGTTACTAACCTGAACATTTGTTTTGGTGTATGCTCCAACAATTCTTCTCCATTTTGTTGGCATAATCCATAGCATGTGGGCAGAACAGAGGGCTCCATAATGTTGGCTGCGAGTGCTGGTGTGGTCCCCTTGCAGAAAACTTGAAACCTTGTTTTTTTATAGATTTTTTTCAAAAACAGTCAATAGTTCCTTTGTATATGTCAGGGAATGTCTGCATCTTTGCCTTTGCTGTACCTGCTTTTTGCAGGGGAGGTAATGGTTCCCCTTACTGGGAGGTGTAGTAAGGGGAGAGAACACTTTTCTAGTATTCTCTTGGTTTAAGGAGAATCAGACTTGATGCCTGCATCTGACTTTCACGCCCTACACGCCCTTTCACGACTACAAAGGAAGTGGTGGGAAGGAGAAGATGTTTAATTCACAGGTGAGATGTGGATTGAACATCTCCTGTTTCAACTTTGTAGAAGGTGAACTTACGATGGAATGAGCAAAATGAGAAGATTACCCTTTCGGAAAGAACAAACATGAATAAAATGGATAACCCTTGTAAAATTATCCTGAATAGCTATGG